TGCCACCACCTCCGCCGCCGCCGCCGCCGCCACCGCTACTGCTGGCTGAATAGTAGAGCTCATGGTAGCGAGCGGCACCATGAGGGCTCAGAGCAGAAGCGGGCAGGTGCTCAGATTTCCCTTGGTCCCACTTGTACTCAAAGTTGAGGCCATGGCTTGTTTCCATGACGGTCAGGACATCATCGCCGTCATTGGAGAAATGTTCCAGAAGAGGGAAAGAGGAGAGCTCCACACCCACATGGCCGGAGCCCGAGCCACCCCCGCCGCCACCCCCAGGTTTCATGGAATTCCAGCGCTGCTCAAACTCCTCCTCGGCTTCTGAAGCGCCCTTGGCACACAAGTAGGAGAGCAGGAGGTGCACCTCCTCAGCTGTGGGACGCTGCTCTGGCTGCAGCCAGCAAAACTGCATCACCTCATACCTGAGAAGAAAAAGACAGGACAGGACAGGAGGAGGTCAGCTGCTACCTCGTGGCTCTCCCAAGCACCGCCTGCGATGCAGATGCATACAGGAGTGAGCCTCTCGATCAGCGCCACAATGCCCTACTTCCTAACTCGCTTCTCTCCTACTTTGATTCTACCATGTGTTTCTTTCCACCTGTGCTCCACCATTCCACCCTCAGAAACCCCCACACCGGTGGGCTTTAGGAACCTAACCTTCCAAGTACAACAAAACTGTATTCTTTGCCTTCGAGATTACAAAAGCCTTCGAGAATACAAAACTGTATTCCTTTGCAATTCTGCTTGCATGTGCTTGTGCACACTTGTGAGGATAGGTGCTAGCGCTACCAGAGGTATACCGCTCCTCTAACTGAGATTTCACTTTTTTAAAAAAAAAGTAAGTATGCTTTTACTTTGAGAGAAAAAGGGAAAATGCACTAACATTGTTTCAGATATCTTTGTATTAGGCTGTCAATATATTTTTTTTCTGGCTATTCCGTTCTGGCCATTCTGCATCTACTTAGCTCCCTCACCCACCTGTTATTTCTGACTCTAAGGGCTGGTTGCCTGCAAGATGGTCAGTCTGACACACACATTCACCCTGCCTTCAGTTTGCCCCACTTAATGACCTGCTGACATGCCACTCTCTATTACATATTAGCAGTAGGATTAGAAAGCTCACCAACATCTGCCCATCGGACCAATTCCAGTCTCTGACAGGTAGCATCCCTAGGTGCCTACAGTCCACTTGTGTCCCTCAGGGAAACCATGCCCTCCTCAAAAGCCCCCCTTCCCATGCTGGCACTCACCAGCGGTCAGAGAGTGAGAGGGGGAGTTGTGGCTTAGGAAGTTTCAGCTGCTGCTCCTTGATGGCATAGGTGAGCACCTGCCGGTCTGAATAGTGGCAGTAGGGCTGGCTGCCCAGTTCGAAGAGCTCCCAGATGGTCACGCCCAAGGACCTGCCAGCAAAGAGAAGAAGGTCAGAAAGTAAAGAGCAGCAGTGCAGCCCAGAGCTGGGGCCCTTTGAAGCCAGGGCAGCCCCACCGAGTTCTTTAGAAAATGCAGTTGCCTCCAGAGGGATCGGTCAAATGCTGGCATGCAGCTCTTCAGTCTCTCTTTCTCCTTAACCTTCCCCCCTTATTTTGCCCCCATAAAATTCTGTGAATAAGACTAGAGAACTGCACAATGCAAGACTTTTAATCTGGCGGCCCCCCCTCATAGGCCACCCCTCAAAGTGAACAAAAGTCAGGGAAGAAAACAGAGATAAAAGCTAGTTAACAGAGAAAAGAGCAATAAAACTCTGAAAAAGAGATTATGAAATTTGGGGTGGGGGGGGAGGGTTTCCCAACTTATACAAATGAACAGGAGTATTAACTATAAAAGCCAACATAAAAGTACATAGACGCTGCCTGCTTAAAACTATTAAGTTCCCAAATCCTGCAAACCTGCAATTTGTTCCATAATCTAAGCTGCTACCATCCCAATAGGAGGTGGGATCTGAAAGAGTGGAGAAATACTACCCGGGGGTGGGGGAGAGATGGGACAGTTTTTAAGTATCTCAAGCCACAATCTGGAATTCATCCCCCCCCCAAAAAAAAGACCGACAACTAGTGGAGTTTATATGGGACTAGTTTTATACACAGATATCATTTTATATGTTTATAACTTGTTTTAACTGATGTAAGCCGCCCCGAGTAGACGTTGTCTAGAGGGGCGGGGTAAAAATGGAATAAATAAATAAATAAATAAATATCAGTCTGAATACTGCATTCCTACCAGCTGCATCTCCCAGATATCCTTCAAGAACAGCACAACAAAACACGGTGTTACAGCTGTCTAGTGAGGAGGGCATTAGGATACGCACTGTGCAGGCCATGCAGAATTAACAACCTTGGCCGGCATATCCTGTTGTGCAGGGGTAACTCTTTTTTTTTTTTTAGGCAATGAATCTCATGCCTTGGCTTAAGCAAATGGTCCCAAGTTGTGTCCTGACATCAAGTCGTGCCTCACTTATGGTGACCCTAATAAGAATCCCAAGGGTCATGAGACATTTAAGGAGCATTTTGTTTTACTAGCTCCACACACTCCCAGTGATTTTCCATGGCTAAGTAGGGACCTGAGCTCACAGTCCTGAGTCTTACTCCAAAACTCTATCCACTACACTGTGTACTGGCTCTTACTGGGCAAAGGTTCTTCCTGCCAAAGAGGAACCTAAACCTGGCATGCAGTGGAAGCCATAAAAAGGCCAGTTAGCTATTAAAATACTGTGGATCCCTGCCTACCTGGTTCAGACAGACAAATCGCAAACTAGAAGTGATTCAAAGGCCCCCCCCCCGCCAGATTCCCATTCCCACCAGCTTGGTCTGTGGACTGGGGCCTACTCAGGATGAGCTGAGAGTTCTTTCCCAGCTTCCCAAGACTGCCCTCTTTCACCCTTACCAATCCTGGTTATTCCTCACCAGATATTGCTGGATTTTGTCTGGTCGACGATGAGCAGGTTGCCGTGTACCTCATCGATGAGTTCAGGCGCCACCCAGCGCAAGGGTACCCACAGTTGGTCAGCTGTCACAAAGTAGTCCTCCTGCCGGGCATGCAGGGCCAAAGCGAGATCACGTCAGACCGGTACCAAAGAAAACTGAACAGAGTGCCATCCCGGCCTCTCCCCTTCCCTGCCCCTTCCTCTTCCAGCGGTGGTCCCTGCCTTCAAAAACTGATGGGAAAACCTGCCCAGCTCCACTCCGTCCCACCTAGTTCAAAGCCTCCACTACCTTTACCTCAGCCATGGGCACATTTCTCTGTTGTTGAGAGAACTGGCACGGTCTATTACCAGCATATATGTTAAACTAACCATCTGCTTTGGTCTGTTCAGGCGAGAGAGGGAGGAAGAGGATTTCCCTTGGACTCTAAGTCCCAGAATTCTCAGGCCTACACAACCAGGGTTCAAACTGATTTTTCTACTCTGGGAATTGTAGTCCAACAGCAGCAGCAGCAGCAGCAGCAACAACAACATTGCCATTCCACGGGGTGCCAGAGGTGAAAATAAAGAATTAGAAAAACTAAAAAAATACAGAAATCTGGCAATCGAGACATCTTGCACTATGGGGCAGTATATAAGCAGCACGCTTTGCTTTTGCTTTGATGAAACACACTTCAGTCGTCCCCATAGTCATTGGGGCTTTGGGACCAATATCAAGAAATTTCACACAGGATTATAAGCAGTTGCAAATCTCAGAAATAACACCATTAGAGCTACAAAAATGGCAATATTAGGAACAGCATACATACTCTGCTAATATTTAACAGATAGGTTTTTGGTTAAAATTTGTTATCTGTTATCTAGTCAAGGTTTCTATAATTTCGATTGACTATTCCCGGTATTTTTGAATAATAATAAATAGACATGTCGATATTCAACAGATACGTGGTTTTTTGGTTAAAACTTGTTTCTATTATCTAATAACAGATAATATTTTTATAATCTCGATTTGATTTTTACAACAGCAACAGCAACTTTTCCCCTCTCAGAGCCAGCTTTCAGCCTTGCCTAAGTTGTATACATATGTGTTTTTCTCCTGCCTCTTCTCCCTCTGCACCCAGAGCCAAGTCACCTTTCACGCCAACACTGCAAATCCTGCATATAAGCCCTGCCAGTCCCCCTTCCTGGGTCCCTACCACATAGCAGACTTACTTTGTATTTGCAGTGGGAAAGGCCGTAGTCGCCAATTTTGACAGTCAGGTCAGCCGTGAGTAAGCAGTTCCGCAATGCCAGGTCGCTAGACAAAAGAAACACCCAGCTGATTTTACATGACGGAAGTTAGAAAGTGCCGGATGAGGATGAGGGAGTTCAGGTACTATGACCCTATTCATGCCAGCAGAATAAATATATCTAAACCAGGTAAGTGGGGATGGGATGAATGATATGATGGTGGGAGAGAATTCCCAAACTTCCCCTGATTAGGCCCACTTAATATACCAAGACCAGCATGGCCAATAAACAATGAATATCTGACTAAGCTACTGAAATCTGTTAAGAACCAAACCCCCAGAGAGCAGTGGAGTTCAGAAACCACTTTTCAGCCACATACTAGCCTGAGCTCATCATTCCATATTCAGCTGTACAAACTACCCTTCTCCAAATTTTCAAAGCCCTCCTTCACTCCATGGACCTAACATGTCTTCCTGTCAAGCTTGCCTATCTCTACACGTTAATGCTTTTAAGTTTATTTACAAGATAGTTACAGAGAACACCATTTTAAAGAAAGTGAAAATAGCATGACACATAATGATAGGATTTTCATGGGACATCTTTATGCAGCAAAGTTCCAGTTCCTCACTGAGGGCTAGCCTAGATGTTTTCAACTTCTGAAACAGCAAAGCTGCTGCTGATCTCAATATTCACCCACCCCACAACCCGCCAACACTACCATTTCCAACTCTGACTGGGGAGGTCTAGTGTAACACCCATGGACTTCCGGCAAATACAAAAGAAAAATAAACCCCAAATATCACATTCTGCCATACAAACCTGTAGGGGCTTTGAGATATTCCAAAGACAACCTTTCTGTCAGTCTGCCACACTCAGGGCCTCATTTGGTGAGGACACAAGACAGAGCCTTCTTAGTGGCTGCTCACAGAATATGGATCTCCATCCTTTAGGAGGCTCGGCTGGCTTCCTCCCTGCTTTAATTCCATTGGTAGGGAAATTCATTTTATCCAGGCAGACCTTTGGTAATTGCCCGCTTGCTAAGGTTAGGAGCTTTAACGGGATATCCTGATTCTCTTTAATTTTTAGTGTAAATTATCATGAACTGAAAAAGCTTTTAAAAAGTATTTTAATTCAATTTTGTCTTAAACAGTGACAGGTCTAATTATGTTTTAATGTTTATAATTGTGTTTTTAGTGAGTGTGTTTTTGAAACTACACTATAAACTGCTTTGGGTCTCAGTGTTGGAAGATAGGTGGTATGTAATTAAATAAATCAGGAAACAAACATTAGGTCCAGGTAAAATATAGGAAATATTGTCCAGAACTCTTGATCAAGCTAGTTGATACAAAATGGAGGAGGTGGAGAAAGATATGGAAAGTTTTAAACTCAGGCCAAATAGTATAACCATGAAATCTGCAGTTAAACTCAGCTCTAAAGCAGAAATTGCAGACTGAATAAGTCCCTAGTAAATATGCAGCTATCAGATTACATTTACAGTTTATACTGAGCTAACAAAGCACTGATGAGTCTCCATTTCTGAAAAGACAAGACTGGTGATACTTCACAGAGATCACTCTCTTCCCTCAGGCGAAACACAAGGTTCCTGAAATGGCACAGGAGAGAAGTTCAAGGAAACGGAGTGGTCCTTATACCAGCACTGCTAGGGAACTTGAAAGCTTCTTGTCCACATCTATAGCCACCTAGAGTGGTTGTACTGACCAGATAGGCGGGGTACAAATAGAATAAATAAATAAATCTATGAAATTTTATTGATTCTGTCGAATGTACTAAATGGGCCGAAGTGGCTACCTTTGTTTTTGTATTTATCTTGGTGTAGTATTTGCATCAGCCTTGTTAGGTTTGGCTAAACTAGTGTTTCTATTCCCATTTTTTTGAGGTATGAAACCTGTTTAAGATGTTAAAACTAGAGGGTGGAGTTGGGGGGTTTGGCTAAACTAGTGTTTCTATTCCCAGTAATTCACTTCCTAGTAAAAGCATAACGGAGGATAGGTTCTTCTGATTTGTAGCTTCTCCTCCTAGTGTACTCCAGCTCATTGTCTGAAGTCAGCTGTCCTTTTGCTTTTCCTTCTGTCCCTAAGAGGTGGTTCATCATCCACAGATGGCAGGGCTCATCCTCTTCAACAAAATCACTGATGCTGGAGTCTTTTGAGTGCCACTCACTCAGCACCAGGATATTGTTGATGGGGAGGAGCAGCTGGGCGAGATGAGCCGGAGCTGCAGAAGCATCCACAGTGGGCTGGTTTCTTGCTGTGCACCGAATGCGGCAGCCCAGGCCCCCAAGCAAGAGAGGCAGGGAGGAGAAAGAGGGGATGTCGCTGCTCATCCCGATCATAGCACTGCAATTCCACGTTGTATCTTAAAACATCCTGCCCTACGTCGCAACTCCCATCCTAAGAACTCCATGTTTCCCACGCTCTAGCCCCTTGTTTTATGCTACAGACCCTCGCAGCTGCATTTGTTTAACAAGTCATATTTGCTTGTCTCATGTTTCTTGAACCCACAGAAAATTCCAATGCCTTCCCTCTGAGCGGGTTCCACCCACTCACCACCAAAGCATGCCAGTTCTTCTCAGCATTATGATTTGCTGAAAAATATAACATGGGACACTGTTTGTTTGTCTCAGTGCTGGGGCAAAATATCTCTCTCTCTCTATAGCAAAAATACCATCTTTGTCCCCATTTTCGGTTGGGGGAGGGGAACTAAAACTTGGCAAGGGATTGAAACTTGGGGACATTATTTACAACTCTTTGGTTGATAAGGTCATGAAATGTCTACACCCTAGGAATAGAGCTATGTGAATTCAGCAACAAAATGGCATAACACAGACAGAAGGTGTCTCAGGTTCAATCCCCCCCCCTCCCAAGTGCCCAAATAGGGTTAGAAAAGACTTGATCCACGTAGACAAAATGGAGTGAGCTGGACCTGGAAGAACAACACCCTAGGAATTTTCCTACAATCTCTTCTGAAGCATCCTATCAAGCCCAAAAGGAAAACTCTGCTGCTCCACATTGATCTTCTGCACCCCAACCCGATGTGTGGCAAGTAATTCAGCAGGAACTGTTTACTCACCTATGCACGTAGTTGTTGCGATGAAGGTGGAGAAGGCCACAGGACACCTCGCAGGCCATGCGCTGCAGGGTCAGAGGGTCAGGCGCGAGTGCCTCAGCCGCGTGGCAGCTCCGCAAGTAGCCTTTCAGGTCACCCTGTCAGGGTGGCAGCAGCAGCAGCGTTACCCACGGCTACACCACTGCCTTAGGGACCTCTCTTGTGAGGTCTCAGTGGGTGGGTTGGAGAAGAACAAGAGAGAGAAAGCATCTCTGCAATGTAGTCAAAAAGGGTTGACACCAAGCTCCAAAGAAGGCCCAGGCTGGGAAACAAGCATATGCCTTGATTCAAGGGTGGGCCACAGGGACATCCCCCAGATGCTTCCTCACTATATATAACTCCCATCATCCCTCACGATTGGTTACGCTAGCTGGGGCTGATGGGAACTGTAGTTCAAAAAAAAACCCACAAGAGGGTCACCCACCCCTGCGATAAAATACCAGAAGCACAAGGAACAAACTTCAAGGAATTTTTAAAAGCAAGGGTTCTTTCTATCTGAAACAGCAGCATCCATCCGCCCCTACGGTGAGAAATAAACAAACCCGGCTTTTTGTGTGTGTGCAATGAGCAGCTACAGCGTCATAGAAAGGTGCCTACCAAAGAAATTGCTTGAGAAGACTCTGGGGAGGAGCCCTGGAAAAAAGGTCTGGTCCTTGGCCAGGCACTTTAACTACCCCAGGGGCTGGGGCAGCAGTGAGGGACAGCCAGGGTGTGTGGGGGAGGGGGGAGGGGCAGAAGGAGTGGAGGAAGTGGCGAGGCTTCCCCTCAGACTCACCAGTGGACAAAACTCCATCACCAGCAAGTAAGGTGTCACTTCCGCACACTGGGCCAGGCACTGCAGGAGGTTGGTGTGCTGGAGTGCCCTGTGTAGGAAGGGGGAGGGAGGGAGGAACAAGAAGGAGAGAGGGAGAGAGAGAGAGAGAGAGAGAGAGAATGAGATTGGAAGGCAATAAGGAAGGGAAAGAGTTGAGAGCTAGAACAGGAAAAAAAAATGGCAAAGCTGGCAAAGGACCTCAGCATTGCAGAGCTACAGGGAGGACCAGACACAACCAACAGTCCTATGACCTCTTAAAGACAAAAGAAGTTTTTGCTTTGGCTTCTCTTCTGCAGGGGCAGGAGCAGTCAACAAAAGCTCATGCCAAATAAAACAGCTGGTCTTTAAGAAACTCATTTTGCTGCAACAGCCCAGTGCATCTCTCTTCCACCACCACCACCACCACCTTCACCCTGGGGAAAGGTCAGGGAGCAGCTTCCGAACAATGCCAAAGGAAGGAACCGTTGTGGGGGGTGGGGGGGGGGAGAGAATACGGCTTGGACTGCCAAGAGGCTGCAAGCTATGCCTGCAGGTGATGCCCCAGCCAGGTTAGCGGAGAAAGAGATGTTTCAGGGTGCCCCCCCCTTTTCCCTCTTTCCAACAAACCAAACAATAGGTTCATATGGGGACAGGGAGGGGTTCCTATGAGACCACCTTGTACTGGCAATGAATTAAATCAGTCCTAAGCTGTGCCAGCTACCCCAGCATGGCCACGAACAATAGGGAGGTTGTTTGTTCATGAGTCAGTACAGTAATTCATCCCTTTCCCAGCACACACTCTCTCTCTCTTGCCCTCCCCATCCCTCTGTCAATCTCTCTGGATTCCAAATGACACCCCCGCACCCACCCCTTTCCTCCTGCCCTGGGACTGTACATAGTTTGCATGACATGAGCATATATATAGGCTCATTCTGGAGCATATTACATATATATGTGCTCATATATATATATAATATATATATGCTCCAGAATGAGCCTATATATATGCTCATGTCATGCAATCATTCCCACTTCCAGACAGTTCTGAAACTGCTCTTCAGTTCTGGACAAATCATGCACTCTAATAGGTGAGGAGGACATTATGCAGTAAAGAAACACCAGAAGGGAACAATGAGAATGAGAGCGGTCACATTTGTTTGTTTGTTTGAACCCCGTCCATCTAGACCGAAGTCTACTCTGGGCGGCTAACAATAATAAATAAAATAAAACAATAAAATAAAATAAAAAAGCAACAATAGTAATATAGCTCAAGATGGGGAAAAATATTCACGTGATGACAGGAGGGAAAGTCTGCCTAAAGAGCCAGGTCTTAAGTTTGCTCTTGAAAACACCCAGCGAGGGAGCCAGACAAATCTCTGGGAGCAGACTGTTCCAAAGGCGAGGGGCCACTGCCAAGAAGGCCCAGTTTCTTGCTCTTTCTCTCTGGGCCTCCTTCGGCATTAGGCCCCTCAGCCACCTTTCCTGGCTAGAATGACTGATTCGGGTAGATCAAGGTGGGAGGAGGCGTTCCGCTAGATATTGAGGTCCTAAACCATTTAGGGTTCCTACAATAGGGAACCTTAGAGGAACCTACCTGTAGGGTTGAGCCTCTTCCAAGAACTGCATTTGATCCTGCACACTGGCACTGGCTTTGAGCTCCTTCACTACCACCTGTGTGCTGCTCAGCCCTGCATTCACCTCACCGAGGAACACCTAGAGGGAGTGTGGGAGGGTGAAAGACATACACAGAGGAGGTGATCGCAAAGTGAAATAAATGATATTTTGGAATGCTTGTGCAGCAGTCCTGTCAGATTGGATAAACTGATGCTAGAACCTTCCATAAGAGTCTTATAAAACTTCATAGACCTCCAGGGAAGAATCAGAAGCCTGTGCTCATCACAGCTGGCATTATTCCCCCACCCCAAAAAAAGGGTTAACTCCAGAATGACACCAAACAATAATTGAAAATCATATCAAAATCCATCTGAGTATCAAGGTATAAGTCTTTCCATTGTTACAGTAATTCCAGGCAACATCAGCTTGTCTAATTCTACAAGCTTTATTTATCTACATTGCAACTACCTTCCATATGCACAAAATACTTGAAAGTTGTAAAAATACAACAGTCTTGCAGCTATGAAGAAAACTGTAGGCAAATACTTAAAAATATATGAAAACTAAAATTAAGTTGCAGGCAAATACCTAAGTCTGAAAAATGTATTTCAATTGTAAGCTTTTAGCTATAAAAGTCACAGACAAGAACTTAAATCATAAATAGAAATAAAGGAGTTTATAGACTTAAAAGTCACAGTCCAAAAGCTGGGAATACATATATTAAAATATCAAAGTTGCTAAGAATAAAAATATATATATATTAAAAAGTCCTTATCCTCTAAGCATATTAAGAACACACAGAGTAAAATTACTAAGTGCTCACTTAGACAAGCTAGTCTTGTGCCAGTTTTCATCTATGGAGGAAAATCCATGTTGATTGTTGCTACTGTCTATCTAGTGTGTGTGGTGTAGCATAGAGCTGCCTTACAATGATAAGTTCAATACCTGTGTGTGAGAATCTTCTCTCCTGATATTTATAATTCACATTGCTATCCACACACATACACAGAGACAGATTTTAAAGCAACCTTATCTCCAGGAAATCAAAAAATAATTTTCAATGGGAAAATATATTATTCCTGCAGATTTTGCAACTGTAGCAGAAATCTGTAACCTAAAATCTGGCAGGCTGCCACTGTTACTGTTTCAACTAACATTCTGCAAAACTGGGACCACCAGTGCTTTGTAACTGTGAACTCTTGTGACACCAGGACCTTTCAATACCAAGATTCTAGATCATCAGAATATTGTCACCATAAAATCCTGAAATGATAGACCATGGTGAACTCAAAAAAATATAATCACCAAGAGTGCAAAATAGGACTTAAAACTTCACTTCATGTTTAAGCATTGTAATATAAACAATTTCATTATAAGATAAATCATCTTGCTGTCAGGAATATTTTTGTTCAGTAACCTTACTCAGTCAAAGTGACTGCTGGTTATCTATCTTGAAACAACTATAGTAAACTATTATTCAAGCTTCAATTTTTAAGAGCTCTTTCATTTGCAAGGCTGATTCTTCCTTACACTCGTTTATTATTTCAACACTCTAAACATACAACATTTCAATTCCTGACAGTCAACTGCAATCTGTTTTCCAGTGATCATGTGATGTACAGGGAACTGCGCTCTAGCCTAATCTTAATCCATGCCCAAATAGGACCCTTTTGGCCCAGTTGTAGGGCTGCCAGTTCTTGGGGTCAGGCTGGAGCAATTCCCCAACAGACAGAAGGATTCCTTTAAGGGATATTTCTCCCTGCAAAGCAACCCTTTTCTGTGTGATTGGACACATCCTTTCCCATCCTTTCCCACACTGGAGCAGGATACTGCGTCTCTATTACACGTGGAGAAAGGTGAGTTGCCACCTCTCACCAGGTCAGAAAGGAAGGCTGCTTTAAAAGAACATGCTAGGTGGGCCACCTATTCAGCTACAACTCAATATCCAGTGTAAGATGCTAGTTCATTAAAATTCTTCAACAAGAAGCAGCACTTCACTTCTCTGCCCTCAGCATTACTCACTGACTCCTATCAATTCACGGGTGACTTGGGGATGCTTTTCCATTCATGGGCACTATCCATTTGGTTGAATGTGCCAACACAACTGTCAGTAGTTTGCACACTGATAATCTCTGATACTGGAAGTCTGCCCTGTACTCATGCAAAAGGGCAATTCCCCCAAGTGACTGGAGTGACCAAGGTTAATTTACAGCCCTATTCAGGAGTGATACAACCCAGGGCTGTCTGCACATTCAGAGGGAGGCACTCAGCCTCCCTCCCTCCCCTCTTTCATAGTTTTCTTCATCTGACAGGGGAGAAGACCAAAGAGACAAGGTTTCTGCTCACATGTAGATACTACATATAAGCAAGAATACAGGGGGAAAATCTGGGTTCTGGGTTACATGGAGAACCGATGCGTGGGCAGTAACTTCCCTTCAGATTCATCATTGATCACATGGAGAAAACAAGAGCAGAGAAGGCAAGGCTGGCTGCGGTCCTTTAAACATATTCTGGAAACTGAATTCTGTAATCCCTGAATAGGGTTAAAGACACTCGTCATATCTTCAGCCTGTTTCTTCTCCCTTCTGCCAGGCTGGAGTTTATATATTACATTACGATTGATTTCATATATTTTATTTATTTCAACTGATTTCATTTGTTTTATTTATTTCAAAACATATACCATATCTTCTGGCTCTCAAAGCAGTTGACATAAAAAGGCTGTAAAACCAGGACTATGCCACTTTTGTGTGTGTGTGTCTGTGTGTGTGTGTGTCTGTGTCTGTGTGTCTGTGAAAAATAATATAAATAACTAAGCAAATGATCAATGGTTGACTGTAGTCTCTGTGAGAGTTGTCAAATGTAACCTATTGCTTCCAGCTTCCTGAGCCTGTGATTCTTCTCACCTAGCAAGTTCCTTGCACATGGTTCAACTGCGACTTTTTCTATGGCCTAGGGTTGAATTCAGGGGTTGAATTAAGATCTCCATCTGTAGACTGAAAACTAGACCACTCTGTTCTCGTTTCATTCCCTGTATTAGTAACAGCCAAACAGGAACACTAAGGAAGGCAGAAATCAAGCAGAGGAACCCAAAGTACCCAACCATTCCCACTCCCCACCTCACCCCACCCCACTCTTCCCCTATGTGGCCAAATTTTGCAGATCTATAGTCTGGAATCTACCCCAGGGAGCAGCCACTTACCTTGCCAAACCATCCATGGCCAATTTCTTTGAGGTACAGCAGACTGTGACGTCCCAGGTCTGTGGATTTGAGTAGTTGCACTGTGAAGGAGCATAGAGAGCCACCTGAACTTTTGCACACCCTTTTCCTGCCCCTTTGACCCCAACCAGCTCATTCTAACTTCTCCCAGAAGAAGAGAGAGCCGTGGGGCAGAAGCCTGCCCACATGTTCAGGTATATGGGAATCCATCCTCTCCAGGGAAATGGATATCCCTGCTCTTGAGCCCCAGCTACTTTCACTTGCTGGATCCCTGTTCCATCAACAGAGCAGAGCCTGGACTGGAGGTAAGTGAAACTCTGGTACATTCACACACCCGAGGCATCTTTTGCTACAGACCGTGCAGTTCTGAGCCTCCAGTCAGCAGAAAGTGGTTGTGCGGAACGTCCACCCAACTGGGCAGTCTCATGGCCCAAAAAGCAGGCAGTGCCAGCCCCTCGCCCCCTCAGTGCCAGACGCCGCTGCTCCTGTCACACTGGGAAGCAAAGTCCCTATTGTTGTGCTCAACACTGGTGGCTGCAGCTGGACACTCAAAAACTCGTATTCTATGGGTCCATTCAAATGACATACACAGGGCTGCACCAGGCAAAACAGAGTGTGGGCAGAGCAGAGGGACCTACTGCCCCGCATGGCCAGCAGGCCGGACCCCCTCCCCATCCTCCCCAGTACAGCAAGCTTCGGATTCTTTAGCCTTTTCACATGGAAAGGAATGCAGGGTCTGTGGGTGCTGGGAACTAAAAAGCCTTTGTCTGGGTGACAGCGGGGGAAGGGAAAACACCCAGGCCAAGATCAGGGAGCAAGTTCTGCTGAAGTGAAAAGGTAAAGGTCAAGAGCCCTGCATAGAGACCAGGATGATTCTCCTCTAAACTCTTTGGTTCCTGCCCCACTTTCTAATGGAGGAAGACTGAACCTTGTATCAAGAAACAGTGTGTGTGTGTGTGTCTTTTTTTTCCCCTTGCAGCAAAATATCTCAGTGTGAAATTTTTCTCTCTCTTCAAGAAATCTCCCTGGAAGGCCTGTAAGATTTCTTAGAAGTTTCAAAAACCATTTTTTCAGAAGAAAAATCTGCACAAAATTATTATTGAACTGCTGGATAGCTCAGTGGTTTAGGGAGTTCAATTCCTCACTGTGCCTCATTGAGAGGGGCTGGACCCAATAATCAATAGGGTTCCTTCCAGCTCTGCAGTTCAAAGATGATGATGATGATTCCTGCACAGTATGGCATACTTCCTATGTCAGATTCCCTAGAATTCTGCACAGAATTCTCCAAAAAGGCAGAACATCTCACCCAGGAAATAGTTTTACATGCTTCTCCCAACCCACAGTGTTAAGGGTGGCCACGCCGAGAGAAGCAAAAAAGATGACAATGAGAAATCAGGCCATCTTGGTGATAGTGCCTATTTTGTGGAATAAACTTCCATCTGAAGTATACCAGGCTTCACCTCTCATGATTTTTAGAAAACCATTAGACAGAACTTTATAAAGCAACCTTCAAAAATATCTCTTCCACTGTTGTGAACTTTCAATGTTTAAATCTCTCTCTGTGTTTGTGTGTTTTGTTTAAATGAGTTGGCCATCACCATATTGTTCGGGTTTCTACGTGAGTGGTTTTTGTGGCCTGTGTGGAGATTTGCCAATCTCTTCTGTAAACTGCCAAAAGTAGCAGGTGTCACTAAGAATCCTGCATGGGCTATCTCCAGATTAACCACTTTCTCTGCAGAATAGCAACTTTCCTTCACAGATTTCTTCATAATTCTGCATAGGATTCCCCAGGAAAAGCACCGAATTTCCTGTGCAGAAGAAGGCGGCAAGAAGTTAGGGGGAAAAAAGGAAAAGGAAAGAAAAAGCTTGGGACCCATTATCACAGGAAGACACTCAACCTCACTGGCAATCGGGAAGTCCTGCTGGGGACTCTCACCATGGTGAGGCTCAGAAAACAGCAGAGAATGTTTTTGCACATTCATCACATCCCTATCCGGAGATGTTCCAAAAAGTAATGACCTGCCCCTTTTACCCACAAGATGGCACTGCAGAGTTATAGGCCAGGGTCCCCATCTAAAAGAAACCAGAATAATCTGGAAGACGCTGGTCAGAGGAAGCCTGAAAAAGCTGCAGCAATATATATGTAGGCACAAAGTTCTAGCAGCTGAAGCAGGAGGTGTTTTGGGGAGGCCACCCCCTAGCACTTAGTAAAGAAAGTCAGCTGCCATCACCTTTCCTCTGGTCATTGCAGCCAGCTTCCTCGCACCAAAGTCCTGCGGCGCTGAATTTTTTAGTCCCTTCCTTTGAGTCCCACCCACAGTTTGGATGAAAGTCGTGGAGAAGAAACGGTCCACTGCATCACTGACAAGAGGCCATTACACAACACAGAGTCAGAGCAAGTGACAGAAGGCCTCTGGTAAAGAATGACTAAAGTACAATGGGACAAGGCTAAGGAGCAAAAGGATGAGGCCCTTCAAGGGAGCTGCCCCAAAAGAAACAAACCGTCCTCCCCTTCTTCTCCCAGGGCATGCCCATGGTGAGAAAGAATCCACAAGGCAGGAAACAGAGGCGGGCGACAGAAAGCCAACTCCACGACGGGAACAAAGATCGGATCCGAGCAGACACAGCTTCCATTGAGCAGCTGCAAGTGGGCAGAGGGCAGAGCAAGGCCGGGAAGCCGTGAACCGTGTGCCGTGGTGGGCCCGGGGAAGAAAAGACTTGGCCCTTTTGGCTGGGCTACGAAGGCTAGAGAAAACCTAAGCAAGCTGCCTGGAGTTCAGACAGAGTTCTGAGTCCTGTCCTCTGAAGAGGTCGGCCACAGAGACCGGCGAAACGTTAGGAAGAACAACCTCAGGAACACGGCCAGACAGCCCAAAAAAACCTGCAACAACCATGGCTGGAGTCTCTTTGAACTTAACAGGCCTGAGAGGAGTTGGAGAGCCCTAGTTTATAGAGCCACACCACCCTTCTGGTGGTCTACAGTAGGGCCATGGTATCATTGGGAGAATTGGTTCCAAGCCTCACCCCTATAGGGATGCTCGAAAGTGTGGATATAGAAACCCTGCTGTATCTACCCCTGTTTCCCCAAAAATAAGACCCTACCCTGAAAATAAGCCCTAGTACGAATTTTCAGGATACTTGTAATATAAGTCCTACCCCAAAAATAAACCCCAGTCAAGTGAAACCCCACCCTCCACCATTGTGCAGCAACCAGAAGGAGATGACATGGCTGTATTGTTGTACAGGAACAAAAAATAAAACATCTCCTGAAAATAAGCCCTAATGCATTTTTTGGAGCAAAAAATTAATATAAGACCCCATCTTATTTTCGGGGAAACACAGTAGTCTCTGGTTTGCTCCAGTGGGCAGTTTTGGTAATGCACCTTGCAAACATGTACAGTATTTCTGGAGTTTTTTATTTAATATTTTCAGCCAGCAGATAAGTGAAACTACAGGTACCGTTCCCCCAGATACAGCAGCCCTAATGTATCTTGAAGGAACTGATATTTCTTGGTAAAAGGGTAAGACTCTCTTGTTAATTACTACACAGAACACTTGCCATCCTCAGGGAGTGTTCTTTATAACTCAACACTTTGCATCTCTCAATACCAATGAAGACATTATCTCATCTGTTTAATGTTGGTATTTGTTTTTTAAAATTTTGAACCCCATCTTTAAAGAAAAGCACTAAAGACAACTTACAACAACAAAATATTTAACAATGTAAAAACAAAACCACAACAAAAGTTAAGCCCCCTTTATAATATTATTAACATAAGACAATGTGAAATTCCAGCAAGCAGTAATCTATAAGGCCAGTAACAAGATGAATGGGAAGAACTGAGACATGTCCACGGAGGAGTTTTTTATTTAAGTAAAAGACCTTTACCAAGTAAAAGACCTTTTAAATTAACCAGGTTTTAAGCACGCCCCTAAAGATATATAGTGTCACAGGTAATCAAATCCCAACTAGAAGGGCCTTCCAGGAAACAGGGCACCACCCCAAGCGCCCTTCTCTTCATCACACTCCAGATGCCCAAAGAATCTAGAGCAAGCCTTCTACGATCAAGAGGAGATGATATTTAATATTTTGCAATTATTATGACAATTCAGGACTGGCCATCCTGTTCATTTATTAACAATAAACCTGGTAAAGGTAAACCTAAAGGTTCCCCTTGACAATTTTTGTCCAGTCGTGTTCGACTCTAGGGGGTGGTGCTCATTCCCGTTTCCAAGCCATAGGGCCAGCGTTTTGTCCGAAGACAATCTTTCCGTGGTCACATGGCCAGTGCGACTTAGACACAGAACGCTGTTACCTTCCCACCGAGGTGGTCCCTATTGATCTACTTGCATTTGCATGCTTTCGAACCGCTAGGTTGGCGGGAGCTAGGACAAGCGACGGGCGTTCACTCCGTCGCGTGGATTCGATCTTATGACTGCTTGGTCTTCTGACCCTGGAGCACAGGCTTCTGCGGTTTAGCCCGCAGCGCCACCACGTCCCTCAATAAACCTGAGGATGGGTAATTCTTTTCTTATTATACCACTGCCTTTATTTTATTGGCCCTGTCCCAAAGCTAAAACTGTATTCCTCTAAGGGAAAGGCCTGACTTCTGTTTAAGGCTCTGTCCACATTGGCATATTGATCAATACAGTATGTAGATCATTGGGAGCATAGCTTGGATCAGAAAAAACCATTTCTATTTATAATAATCCACCTTTTCCCCTTTTAGAGCTGTTGCGCACATTTCTGGCACAGGGCAGGGGCATGCATTCTTTTTTAGTATGGATCGGTGTGATCTGAAATAGCTTTGTTTAGCCTGCACAGACCTTTTGCCAAAATGGCATAGGAGGTGGTGGCATTAACTGTAGTGACAAACTTGTGGTGTATTACATGGGTTGTGGCTTAGGAAGGGAGGGTGGAGAAATCCTCTCCTCTATTTTCTTCTTTTTTAAAAAAAATACTTTCCTAACTGACACAGTGAAATTCCAGTAGTCTGCCGCATTCTTTTTTAGTATGGATCGGTGTGATTTGAAATAGCTTTGTTTAGCCTGCACAGACGGATACCTTTTGCCAAAATGGCACAGGAGGTGGTCACCCTATCCCCTTGAATGCTGGCTGTGATGCACTGCCATTTCAATATGCCACTTATTTTAAACAAAAGGAAAGTCACCCCATTCCCTTGAATGCTGGCTGAAAAAAAAAAAAGGCAGGGAAGGAGGCTAATGACTCCATGGCCTCCACCCCACAAGGAGGCACAGCCCCAGCAGAGCTCCAGCTGAGGGGAAAGGCAGGAAAAGGAAAGGGTCTCCCCAACCTTCACCCCAGCACTTTCCTCTTGCACTGCAGCTGAGGGATAAGACTGATGGACTATTAAAAACTCTCCCTCTTAGAGACTAACAAGTCTTAGAGACTAAGAAATACATTTACCCTCCCAGAGTAGTGCTGTGATACTAATGGGAGTGGGACACAAACTGAATAAATAAAATAAATAAATTTCAGGATAAGCATCTGATGAAGCAATATCTGGTCCACTAACAAATGCATCCATTTTTAAGGAATTCCAGCGCTCACTATTGTTTTTGTCAGCAGGTATGTTATCCATAATTTTTTTTAATCACAGTGAAATACCCAGTGGTTAAAAGGGAAGACTCTTCTCCCACCTTAGTTGGAGAGTCTAATCCATGCTCCTTCTTGTGGGTACATAATCTGTGCAGAGATTCCAGCTTAATCAGGAGGACCAGAATTCAAGCTTGCCAAGTGTTGTATATATTGTGAGTGTTAAAACTGTTCTGGCTAATTGTGATAAGAAGACCAACATGCTAAATAGAAAGGCTTCAGTAGCTTACCCGAACGCCCAGGTTGCCTGGACATGGGCAAGGAGACTTCAGTGAGAGGCAGAATGTAAACTTCAGGGCCATTCTGTGTGGCGGGTGAGCCTTGGACTGAGAATTCGCTCACGTATTCTTCTCCTTCAGCATTATCAAATTCCTAAGATCAAGAAGACAGAGAGAGAAAAGGAGGCCGGCGTGGGGCAGGCAAACATATTTGTACACATGAAGAGGAGAAATGTAGAAACATGCACTTGCTATCAACCACACTTAGAATACTACTTATATAGAAAATATTATTGAAATGTAACACATGTAAAGCTTTAAAAACTCATTCATTCCTACTATCACTGTTGCCATTTCACACACACACACATACAGGAGATTCATCATTGACATGCACATAGTAAACTAAGAAACAAATGGACAGATAGGAAAGTAGATAGACAGGTAGCTAGACAGACAGGTAAGGTAGGTAAGCAGACAGACAGAAAGACAGGCAGACAGGCAGATAAAAGACGGGCCTTTGCTCAGCAGTCAACTACACAACTGGCTGGCTAAGCCCCTGGTATCTCTTGCTAGGGTGGGGAAAGACAGCTGTCTCAAAATATCTGTGGCCAACACCCAGCTGGATGTTACAATTGTTTCACTCAATGGAAGGCAGCTTCTTATGTTCCTGAATACACATGGGACCCGAGAGAAGGGCAGGAAGAAGACAAAAAACTTCCACTTGTGCATGTCACGTTGAATAAATGCACAGGGTGGGTAAGAATGAATGAGTCCACAGATGCACAGTAACAACACAAGGAGGAAATACAAGCACCTACGTACTTGAATCAGACATAACTTAAAAATATGTATATATTCACAGCTCCTCACACCTGTGTTTCATCTACCCTGGGAACCTATACTGGCTTCTTTACACCTTAAAGGGGCTTCTTAAATCATGCCACAGCCCTCCCCCTAAGGAAAACGGGCTCCCTAAGCGTGCAGAAATCTATGCTGCCTTCTTCCCTCACCCTGAACTACAGCTGCTGTTTTTTCTTGTGGGGATCTCGAATTACTATAACGTTAGTTAAACCTCTGTAGCATCCACATGCTCCTAACAGACTGGAAAATGAGCAAATATATAGTCCCTTAAACTCCTATCTTTATAGCTCCCTCCCAGGTCTTTCCAACTCTCTCCCATAGGCAAAGAGCTGTGTGAAAGGGAATCATGAAGAGTGCAGCTCCTTGTAAATGCCATGCCTGTGAATCAGGCCCATCGGGCGACCGGGACCCCCTGACGTTGCCTAAACTGCAAGGAACGTCATGTGGAGAGTCAATCCCCACGCACAACTTGCTCTTGAGGACTGCACTTCAGGCATCCACCACAGGTACTGGTAACTATGCATGTGTGAACCATAGAGCAGACACGGGACGCATACACACACTCACACACTCCCACTCAGCTGCAACCACAACCCACAGATACTAAAGGGGTAACAGAGACAGCCGTGCACTCGCTCACACTCCTTTTTCTTTCCACACACACGCATTGGTGTGTGGAGAACTTGGAGGTCAAGATGAGGCCCTAAGGGCCAGGGATGAAAGCTCCTAAGAGGTTTAGGAATAGCCAAATTTCAATTTATTTCCAAGGGATTGGGAAAATGTTCCAGAAAGCTTTGGCTGGAGAGAAATGGGGGGGGGGGGAATAGGGGGAACAGGACAAAAGCAAAACCAATGAAGCTTTACCTGCCCAGGCTCCCCACAGATCTGCTCAGGAGCTTACCCCACACTGGTAAAGCACTGAAGCCTTAGGGCCATGAAATGGCCAGAACTGCCCCTTCCACTCTCTCACCCTTGCATGGGACAACCCGTAAACCTTGGGAGGTAGGACTGCAGGGCCCCATCCCACACGCTGCCTTGCCTGTCTCCAGAGTCTCCCCGCCACCGTCAAGCTGGTCCCTTCAATTTTTTTTTTTTTTTGGTACTTTTGTGTGTTGTCAGTGGCGGCTGCTCTGCTCCCTCCACCCTGCCTGCCCCCCCCCAATCAGCAAAAGACATAGCCAGAAACACCCGTTGAGGGAGAAGCAGCCTCACCTTGGTCAGGGGGCAGGGGGAGGGCTGCCCAGGGTTCCCCAGTTCTACATTACAGGCCGTTTTGGGCACTGTGCTGGCCCCCGTGCAGGGCAGACACCTCAAAACCATCCTCAGCCTCTTCTCCCGGGATTCGCTTCTCCAGCTCTAGGCAAGAGTGCCCAGAGAAAGAGTGTTAATCAATGTGCCAACCGGAAGTACTCTGCTCTCCCAGCTGTTGCCCCCACAATGCCAGATGCACTCCCACAAGCTGGCGTCACCACCACCACCACCACCATCACCACCCCGGCTAAGGCTCCAACACCCCCCACTCCCCACCATCACCATCACCATCACCACCACACACTCCCTGCAAGAGTCACCCAGAGGCCAGGAGGCGTTTCTGGTTACCTGGAGGAGCTTTTTCCCACTGAAGGCGGCCCCTGCAATCAGGTAGGAGAGGGTAAGCATCACCCTTGTGCATCCTGTGCCCAGCACTGCTGCAACCGTGGCCTTTCCATGGGGAAGCGAGCACAGAGGTTGCGCACAAACCTTATCCATGACTCTATATAGGCAGCGTAGGGGGGATCTGAAGGGCTTCATTGTTCCCACACCAAAACCTGGCAGCCCTTAACCCACAGGACTGTCTGTAACTCCAATTTCAACACCCCACCTCCTCGGAGGCCTGGCCGCCAAGAGCCTCCGCAAGAATCCCAGCAATGAGGGTACGCATTTCTCCAGCACATTCTGTGCCTGTGAGGTCAACGTGACTGCCCACTCTCTTGTGGGCCATTCTAGGGCAGACCGAAGCCAAGCCCAGGGCTGTGGAATAAGAGGATCGCAGCTGGTTTGGAAACTTAAAGAGAACCCTCCAATTAAGAAGTGACAAGAGAGCTTTGCTGTGCTCGTGGCTGTTCTGTTATGATCTACAACCCAAGTCGTAGACATTCCAATCTGGACAGAAGGGCAACCTCAACCCTGTCACTTCTTACAGGGCCAACGGATGAGGCAAGGGAGGCTGCCCCTTCTGCCAATTCAGATGGTCAATGGAACATGCATTGCCCATAAGACGAGGGCACCTGGGTGGCTGTTATCCTTATCTGCAAATGGAGCATTGAGGCAGATCTTCTGCAGAAATGCTTTGGAATTTGTCACTTAATGAAATTGATTTGATTGGTCCTGGAGAAGAGTCACACGACTAAACAATGCATCTTAATATTAATCATTTCAGAGTATACCTACTGACCCTTCCTTCTCTATGCTTCAGTGGTCACGCCTTCCTTTACTTCTTTCCTGACAGCACAGCACCCTTCAGATATGGATGTTGCCTGGATTACTCCATTGGCTACCTTTGTGCTGCAGAGCTTCAAAAGTTCAGCTTGGAGAAAGTATTTTTCCTTCCCATTAAGGTCACAGGTATCCAAATCACACACACACACACATATATACAGTATATATGTTGTGCTCTTGGAAAATAGTGCAATGCCACTTTTCACATGCACACGCCTCTTGTCCCACTGATTCAATGTCCAATGAACACTTTGAGAAAGGAACCACTGAGCATACAATTTGTATACAGGAGGTGCCAGCTTCTCTCTCTCTCTCCAAGTCAAGAAGAATCAGGTAGAAAGAGGTGATGGAAACACCTTCTTTTAAAAAAAGCCATGGAGAGTGGCTGCCACTCAAGCCAAACAGACAATAGTCTGATCTGGCACAGGACAGCTTTCTGTATCCAAGAGACAGACAAAATGGGCGAGTCTGGGGGCCAATTTTCTGCTCCCAGGATCCACCAAGGGCTGCACAACCACCAAAATTGCAAAAGGAAAGAAAGGCAAAAGGAGAACCTCCAGAGCAGAGCATTGAAAGTCCACTTCCAATGTTTGAAATGTGTGTTAAACATTGCAGCATGTCTGCAAGTTATTTAAAAGCAGTTCTAAGATTATGATAATGATGATAAAAGGTGAACCACTGCTCTGGGATGCCCTTGGGAGATATACTTTGCCTTTTCCCTTCCCTTTGTTTCATCTCCTCCACTTTGCTCACGTCTAGCACATTTGTGCCCATCCTGCCTTTTCCCGTGAGGTTCAAGGGCTCATCAGAACCTCTTCCATCCTCCCTCTTTCCCAGCAACGTGCCAGACGACCACCTCCTGATGGGTTCTGAAGCTGGCTTCCCAGCAAGCCCCTGCCACCAAGCTTTGTTGAGTTGTTGCTGCTCAAGAAGAACCCTGTCCATATTCCATTCTCAGTCTACAGTCTCCTGCTGATGCTTATCATCATCATAATTTTGGATGCACAAAAAGACACAAAGAACACTACCCTCCCTCATCCCCTGCTTTCTCTGAGCAGCAAAAGTTTCTACCTGAAGATGATTCAAGCTGCCTCCTCCAAAATCCTACCTTATGGCAGAACTATCCGAGTCGGAGACCTATAGCGCCCTAGTGGTAAACAGCAGTGCTGATCCAGATGGATTAAAAAATACAGTAAGCGCTCAGGAACACCTTCCACTCCTAAGCACTGCTTTCTTCTTATTGCAACACAGGACCTCCTCCTAGTGTAATGGGGTTAAGTGTTCACACCAAAGATAGGAGCAACCCCTCTCTATTGAAGACCAGCCTAGTTGCAACTGTAACCCGTCTTCAGAAACCCGGGCCTCCTTTGGTGCTTACCTTAAAGCCAATGCCCCCCTTCTTGCAGCACAGACAGGCCAACATGAGGAAGATGAAGGTGAAGAGCCCAGAAAAGGAAACAGCCACAACCACCAGAGAAGAGGACCAGGACAGCTCACTCAAGGGAGTGCCGTCTGTAGGGAGACAAGCAATGGAAAAAGATTAGAAAGGGATATGCACAGAAAAGCAAAGAAACGGGAATCATCATCATCATCATTGTGGATCCTTTCATTAAGTTGACAATTATTCAGAAGTTCTAGCTTCAAGACACTCTTGGTGCACCCCTCCATCAATCCCCACCACCACCACTTATCCCTAGCTCCATACATTACACCTCAAACCCTTTTCAGCCTGAAAGGAAAGGCTTCAAGTGTTCTAGCCTTTTAATCACCCAGATTAAAAACTCCCTAGAAGCAGAAACACTGCCTCTTGAACCTACTTTACTTTCCCTGTGATTGCAGGTTGGGTCTCACATGTATTACAGGAGACACTGGATGCCAGAGATATATTTCCACCAAGATGGACTGCCTGGCCTGTACTGAATCCACATCTACTCAACCCGGAAAGGCATGAGAGCAGTGTAGACAGAAGCATCTTCATCATGTTGAGCATCAACTCTCCCTGTATGTTCCCTTTCCAGTTCCATTACATGGGGTTTATCCATGTAAAAGAAATAAGGGGTGCTGCTGATTTAACTGGTCCTAGGTATTTTAACCCACCTACTTTCCAAAGGCTGGCTAATCACCATCAGTCTGCTCTGCAGACCTGAGATATTTCACACAGTGCATTGCTGCCTGCGCACACCCACATCCACACCATGTGCTGTCTTGTTCATCTCAGTCTCAACCCACAACGTCCCGCTACACATATTGCCAACAAGCTTATTTGCTAGAAAGCATCCATGTGTGTTAACTTTCACCACTTTCAGAAAATGTAGCTATTTGCCACAGGCAGTATCTTTATTAAAACCAGCCACAATTCCAAGCAGTAGACAAGGTTTCACAGAAAAGTCCCAGACAGACAGCTACTTGGCCATCTTACTGAGCTTTGGAATCCTATCTCTGAACAGCCATAGCAGGCTGGTGAAGGCCTGACTTTGGGAGGAGAGGATCCTCTCCATTAATGTCTCTTGAAATATGTATAAATTATGTTCTGGTACCTTAAAGCATTACTTGGCATAAGGTGCAACTCACATCCTCTGATGCAACTACAAACCTGACAGCATCTAAGCTGCCCAGGACTCGCTGTTGTTTCTTCTGCAAGAAATTACAGACTGATTACAGCTATGCCTCTAGGAATCTCTAAAACATGAAAGATGGAGGAAATGGCCCCAAATTCAAAATCAGAAAATAGAGTCACACAGAGAAAGCTGTCTTTACCCTGATGACCTAAACAGTAATTCCATTTCTATGAGACACTAGTTTTCAAAAGATTAAAGAGGAGATGAAACAATAGAAAAGATAAAAATTAATTTCCCAGCAGCAAGAGGCAGCAAGATCATGGAGACCAAGATGCTTTTTAATTCAAAGAAGATAATTTGCCTCTTTGAGCAAGTTAATACATTCCCAGGGGCAGCATTTAACTGGTTATTGCTCCTATTATCTGTTAAACACCACATATATGAGCCATACAAAACATGCACACGTGAAAGCATATAACAGTGCGCCTGTGCTTGAGTGTGAGGATGAAAATGTGTGACAGTAATGCTCTGTGTGTGTGTGTGTGTGTGTGAGAGAGAGAGAGAGAGAGAGAGAGAGAGAGAGAGAGAGAGAGAGAGAGAGAGAGAGAGAGAGAGAGAGAGAGAGAGAGAGAGAGATGGCATTTCACTGTGAGTAGGCATCTGAGAAAATAAATGCTACATGAGTAGACAAGGTTATAAATGCTTGTTCTCATTTCTAATCCCATACATGCTGTGAAATGGAGCAAAAGTTTCCATGGTGAGCGCCGGGTCTAGATGTACACCCAAGCTGTGAACCTCACTCTTGGTGGTATGAGTCACCCCCCCCCCAAGAGAAGGAGTTTCCCAAATCACTGATGTCTGGGTCACCCACCAAAAGGACCTCCGCCTTGCCTGGGTTCAGCCTCAGTCTATTCTCCTGCATCCATGGCTGAACGGCCCCCAGGCAGCGCTCAAGGGATGAAACAGCATCCACTGTTGTTGGAAAAAAGAGATGTAGAGCTGAGTATCATCTGCATACTGATGACACAAAGCCCTGTATTCTCTGATGACCCCTCCCAATGGCCTCATATAGATGTTAAACAGCATTGGAGAGATGATTGAGTCCTGCAGAAACTCTCTCCAATCTGCACTTTCTGGAGACTGTCCTCCAAGAAGGAACGGAGCAAAGCAAAAGCCAGGCCACTGATACCCAACTTGGAGAGCCTCACCAGGAGGATACTGTGGTTGATGGTATCAAAAGCAGTTGAAATATGAAAGAGGACCAGCAGAGACATTTTGCCCTTGTTGGCCTCCGTCAATAGGTCATCAAACAGGGCGACCAATGCAGTTTCCATGCCTCCGTCAATAGGTCATCAAACAGGGCGACTAATGCAGTTTCCATGGCGTGGCATGGTCTGAAGCCCAACTGGAATGGATCCAGGGCTTTGGTTTCATTGGTTTCATCCAGAAGAGCCTGCAACTGGTCGGCCACCACCCTCTCAACTACCTTGCTGAGGAAGGAAACATTAGCAACGGGCCTATAATTACCAATATCGTTCGCCGCCAAACTCAGTTTCTTCCTAATCAGCCTAATGATTATCTCCTTGAGAGAGATAATAATTAATGAAGAGACCCATTCATTATTGCCATAGCCCATTCAGATGTTATAGGCCTGGCTGCTTTGATTAGCCAGGCTAGGCAAGGGAGGAGGGGGTGGCATGACAGGGGTCAAGCACTCTGTCCACCATGTCTGACGTCAGAGGCTGAAAGTGGTCAAGTCCCATCGGGGCAAGACGGAGCGCTGGACATCTCTGTTTGATCCACTGTTTTCAGATAGGAGGTAAGATCCCAACGGATGGCCTCCACTTTTGATGTTTAAAAGGCTGCAAATTGGTCAGGTTAGCAGGAGGCCAGTCACTATGACCAACTCCAGGTAGATCATGAAGTACACGGAAGAGTTCCACCTACTGATTGGAAGCTTTGCTTACCTAGACAGTGAAGTAAGATCAACTAGCAGCCTTCACCTTAGATTGGTAAAGGTTAGTCACGATCCTGACAGCTTTTTGGTTGTTTTCCATCGGGCTCCACATCCATATGCACTCTAGCCTTCTCCTATTTCACTTCATTGATCGCAGCTCCTGGTTAAACCAGGGCGAAGGGCGATCTCTGCGCCAGACTGTAAACCTCTGACTCCACATGTATGTTGTCTCGGGGACCCCAGCAGAGCCACAGAGCCGAAGTCTGCCAGCTCCGGTAAGGAAATGGCTGGGTCACGGGGAGCGTGGTAACCCAGCAAGATCCCAATGCCATCCCTGGCCCCAATCAACACGTGGAGGGCCTCTAGACCTGGTGTCACTGCCGCAGAGCGCCTAACAACCTCCAGAGTCTTCTTGTACAAAATGGGTACTCCTCCCCAACCTTCCAGTCTACCCTGGTATTTGACTGCATAACTGAGAGGACAGGCTAAGAGTCACGGGGAGCGTGGTAACCCAGCAAGATCCCAATGCCATCCCTGGCCCCAATCAACACGTGGAGGGCCTCTAGACCTGGTGTCACTGCCGCAGAGCGCCTAACAACCTCCAGAGTCTTCTTGTACAAAATGGGTACTCCTCCCCAACCTTCCAGTCTACCCTGGTATTGGACTGCATAACTGAGAGGACAGGCTAAGGAAGGGACACCCCCTTCCCTGCCCATCCATGTTTCGGTTATGCATGCCAGATCTTCATCCTCCTCCAGAATCAGGTCTTGTATAATCTGGCATTTATTTGATACAGATCTGGCATTCAAGGGAACTTTAGAAAAGCACCTGGCAAATATCCTTTGATTTGTACTCCTGCATTGAGCAGAGGGTTGGACTTGATGGCTTTATAGCCCCCTTCCAACTTAATATTCTATGATTCTATGATATTCTGGGCAGCTTACAAAAGAACATAGAGCACAGCATTCAACCCCAAATACGGCACTATTCAGTGAATTCTGAATGTTTCTGAATCTGAATGCATATCTCTAATCTTCAACCACCCTGCAGCTAACATCATTTGGGATAGCAATTGGCAAGGGAGTGCCAGATCTGTCACAAACCTGATGAAACAAGTGTTCTCTACCAGAGAATGGCTCTCCATTCATTCCTTCATCTGATATCTCCACCTCCCACCGGTGTCCTATAAGGATCCTGGCAGATAATGGTGGGAGGTGGACGCATCAGACATAGCTCTCCAGACTGGACGACTGGGCAAAAACAAATAAAATGAACTTCAGTAGGAGAAAATGTAATGTTCTACATTTAGGCAGGAAAAATCAGATGTGCAAACATAGCATGGGCAACAGTTGTCTTGACAGCAGCATATGTGAAAATGATCCTAGAGTCTTAGTAGACAACAAGCTAAGCATGAGAACAGTGTGAAATCAAGGGAAGCATTAGCACCACTCTATCCTGCATTGGTAAGACCTAACCTTAAATACTATGCCCAGTTCTGGGCACTGTTTAAGAAGACTACTGAGAAGCTGGAACATGTTCAGAGGAGGGCAACTAGGATGTTAAATGGCATGGAGTCCCTGTAAGGCAGGTTGGAAGCAGTTGGGAATGTTTAGGTTGGCAAAGAGAAGACATGACAAAGCAGTATGATAACCACTTCAAATATTTGAAGAGCGATCACATGAGAAATGGAGTGAGTTTGTTTTCTGCAAGGTTCAGAGGATAGGATCTGACATAATGGGTTTATTTTAAATTACAGGAAAGACGATTTTGACAGCACAAGGAGATTAGGAACAACTTCCTAACAGTGAAAGCTGTTCAACAATGGAATGGACTCCTCAGAGGGTGGTAGGTTCTCCAGCATCAGACAAGTTTAAAGAGACATCCCTGTCAGGGATGCTTTAGGTAAGGATTTCTTGTGGTTAAGAAAGGGTTGGCCTTGATGACCCCTGCAGTCCCTTTCCATGGGCATACACACACATGGGCAGGAAGAGTAACTT